TGGACCACAGCTACCAAGGCCTCCACCAGACTGAGTCCAGTACAGCTAGATGGTGCCCGGCTACCACCACTGACTGCTCTGACCAGGATCACAATAGAGGGTCCTGGACAGAGCTGGAAAAAGATGTAGAACAAAACTAACTCACAAAAAAAAGACCAGATTTACTGGCCTGACAGACTGGAGAAACCCCAAGGGTATGGCCCCCGGACACCCTTTTAGTTCAGTGGTGAAGTGACTCCCAAAGTTCACCGTTCAGCTGGGGATTGGACAGCCTCATAAAATGGGACCAATGAGGCACAGCAGTCCAGGGACAATGACTAGAAGGCAGGAGGAGATAGGTAAGCTGGTGATAGGGAACCAGAGTTTGAGAAGGGACAGTGTTGACATGTTGTGGGGTTGTTAACCATTGTCATACGGCAGTATGTGTTGTGTTTAATGAGAAACTACTTGTTCTGCAAACCTTCATCTAAGGTACCAAAAAAAAAAAAAAAAAACAAAGAATTATCTATGTGAGATCACATTGACAACAGCAACTCTAAAGGTCTGATGGGAAGCCTAGGGGGCAGAATTGAAGATAATGGTGATGGAATGATTTGGAAAAGGATAGTGAGAATAGCAGCACAACTGGAAGAATGTAATCAATGTCACTGAATTGTACATGTAAAAACTTTTGAAATGGTCTAACTTTGGCTATGTATATTTTCATTAAAAAAAGAGGTCCTCCCAGGTCAAGCAGGGAGAGTGATGACATGTCATGGGGTTGTTAACCAATGTCAGAAAACAATATGTGTACTGACTGTTGAATGAGAAACTATTTGTTCTGTAAACCGTCATCTAAAGTACAATAAAAAAAAAAAATGATAATAAAATTGAAAAAAAATAAAAAAGCCAAAGGCCTTGGGAATCACCTAAGGCTGAAACATCCCAGAGTCCATTGGCAGTACAGTCTACGTTTTATCTTTCATTTGTTTTTAATTCAGTACTCCATGTGCATTAGAGGCTTCTGTTGAGAGCACTGCTCTCTCTAGATCAGGTTTGCTGTGTGTGAGCTGAGGACATTTATAAGTTTAAGTGATAGATAGCAAGTACAGCAGAATAAATGCCCTTTGCATTGCCCTCGTATTTCTGTGGTGGGGTACTGGTGGTAGGGAATCTGTCAGTCGTTGTGGCCAACGCCATTGTAGAATAGGATTCATCAGGAGAGGTAGCACATCCCACACCCTGTTTGTCTTGTGCCTTCCATAGTCATTTGTCAGCAGTGGAAGTATGCCACTGAAATTACTGTTGCTCTTCTCTCTTACCTCCACATCAAATTTCTAACTGTTTCTATATATTGGTAACTTAGAGTAAATAATTTGTACTGCTTATCTTGCCTAAGGTCCTTGTAAGCTACTTAGAGATGTTTTTATTCATTGGCCAGTGATCACAGTGTTGTAGAAAATGATTTTTTTCTTGTTTTATAAATAAGTTATCCAAGACATGAAGATGTGAAGTGGTTGTGTGGTCTTAATGCTTCTGGCCTGCCTTAGTACCAGACCAAGCTCTGGCTGTTTTGCTCCATTTTCATGAGTGAGAGACCACATAATGTAATTGTTAAGATTATGGGCTCTATGCTCAGACAGACTGGGTTTAAATTTCAGTTGTCCCAATTACCTCTTATTTACCTCTAGATGTAGAATTATTTGTTCAGCAACTAATGACTGAGTGAATGAATGAGCAGCCAACTTACACATTCCTCTCCTAGTAAGACCCAGGGCTGCTTTTGTTGTGCTTGTTTGTTGTGTTTTATCGCCTTTTCCCTCCTCACTGCCTTCCTATGAAATTGAAGAGAGGCCATCTAACTTTTAGTCCTGGAGTGTTCCCTTTGTCTATAAAATCGTAAAATTTAAGATGCTCACTTGCCAAAAAACGTTCGAACTATATCACATGAAAAGAACCATAACTTTGAAGAATAGCACCATCTTAGTGACAGAAACAAATTGCTTCTTTAGGAACATGCTTCGTAATGGTTGCCTTTATGAATCAAACTTCCCTGCATTTATGAAATAATATCCTCATTAGAAGCTGTGTGTTTACAGAAAGGCATTAACTGTTTCAGGTCATTAGACATAAAGAAGCAGCCCAATTCCAGGCCTGCCAGCTGGTGTCTGACTACCTACGCTTTTCAGTTTCAGCTACTGGAACCTCAAACGCTCTGTTTATAGATTTGGTAAATAGGAGAGAGCTTGCTCTCTTGGCATTTTTGGCTCGGGGTTAGTCTGAATCTCTGATCTGAAGGTTTGGGCACAGTATCTGATATAGCCAAGTTGGAGCTGGACTGCCTACTGTCTGTGCTTTGCCCCAAATTTTCGAGAACCCAGAATTTCAGGGAAAAAATGCATCCTTAGGCACAGGGACCAGTCCAACAATTCTAAGGCAGTTAAGTATTCAGGGTCCATTGTGCTGTTGCTGACAATCAATCACTTCCCGTGTTGGTTGGCATGCTGTGATCTAATTGCTAATATAGGCCTATTGATGATGTGTTGAGAGCTTTTGAGTCTCCCTGTCGACCTTGTTCTGGGGTGAGACAGAGGTCACAATCTTTATTTAGTAAACCTGTTGCCATTGTCCCAAAGTCAGTGAAGCTTCCACGGTGACTGACAGCATGGAAGAATTTGATACTATATGCAGGTTGCTGTTATTTTAAGATTTTTAAGTTAGAAAATACCAGTTTTAAAAATGCCACCGGTAAACATATAGGCATCATTTAATGAATAGCAAAGCCACCTCTGTGATTTCCTGAAATTTTATTCCAGGTTTTTGTATGCGCTTAAGTAAGCTTATATTTCCCCCAAATATAAACTTTTTAAATATAAATATTCAATTATTTATGTTACATGCAAAATTATAGTTTAAATTGAATATCTTATCTTCTTTTCTCAGTTTGTAGGCTGAAGTTGAAATTGTCAATTCTTCCAAGGACATTATTGGTGGGATGTATTGCATGATCTCTTTCCCCAATTTGTTCTTACAAAGGTGTGCTTTTCTCTCCCAGGTGACCTTGTATCCAGCTGTGAAAGACCTTTTGCAGGAGGGTATTTATCTCATCCTGGACCTCTGCCTTGAACGGGACATCCAATTCTTAAGGGTCTCATTGCAGCCAGGAGTGAGAGAAGTCTTTAAAGAGCTGTACAATGATTATCTGAAGTATCACAAAGCTAAACACGAAGGAGAGAAAAGATACACTGTCTAATGCTGCATTTCAGAGTATTGCCCTTGGTGCTTTAAAAAGGCTTTGGGGAAATCTTGGGAGAACAAAAGACTTCACATGTTATAATTTACAATGTTGAAATAAGTGGAAAATCCTTTGGAGTTTATGTATTTTACAGTCATGGTTTTTTCATTGACTATTTTTTAATATGCCTTTTTATGTAGTAAGTTTATAATAAAATCCTGAAAAGAAGACCCTGGAATGAAATTAATTCAGTAAAAAAAAAAAATTGCTGTATTTATCTTATGACCATTCCAAATGTGGTTCTTGTCTTGGTTCAGTGGTTTGGTGTTTCTTGTCCCCACCTGGAACTACGTAGAACTTGTTTTGTTTTTTGTTACTTCAGGTACATATAATTAACTATATACATATAATTAGGTGTATAATTAAGTCCTATTTACATATCTCTGCCTTTAAAATTCTTTGAGTAACATGGAAAGTGTTTGTGAAATGCCACTTTTCCTGCCTTCCCTCTGCGCACACCTTCTGATCAAGCTGGGGAGAATTAGCAGCTCGTGACTCCTTGTGAGCTTGGAGCGTTCCTGGGTAGGGGTGGAGGTCCCTGTGACTCAGATGGGTGCTTACAGTGGGGGTGCTGGGGCTCATGTCTCCTGCCTCCCCGCCCCAGCTCATGTCAAATTTTTTTTCCTATTCAGTCTAAGAAATAATCTCGTTTATTATTACCTAAGCAATGTGTTTTCATTGTAGCAACCTCAGAAAATAAAACTAAAAAGGAAAAAATTTTGTGGTGAAATGAGTTCCTTCATGTGACTTTTTGCTGTGGTTCTTTGGAGAAACAGCTTGAGAGATTTTCCCCCTAAGCCCTGAGGAGTTACCTTTGCCCTAGTTTTCTACCCCAAAGGGTTTGTTATTTTTGTCGAGGTTGGTCGGCATTTCCTGGATAAGCTGTAAACAACCTGATGGTTTGATACTTTTTGTCTGGCCTGGGCTGCAGCCTGCCCTGTGATTGGTCTGTTTTACACACCGCAGGGATTGGTCGATATGCAAATGAAGTGACTGTGGCTTACTGAGGGGATTGGTCAGTTTGTGGCCCTGGTGGGAGGGCCATGCCTTGAAATTGAGGAGTGTGTTTATATACACAGCCAACCTCACAGAGGTTTGCAGTCAGAGATAACAAAAGGAAGAAGCAGAAAAGAAAAGGCAGGAAGAGAGAAGAAGCAGAAAGGAGGTGAGGAACACAAGTCAATTGCTGTAGAATTGGTGGCGACAGCAGAAACTTGCTGCTGGGGATGCAGCTAAGAGAGCTCAGCAAAACTGCTACACTGGCTATGAGTTGGGTCAGTTAACAATGGAGAGGCCAATGGTAGGGAGGCCGAAGGCAGAGAGACCTGCACGGCCAAAAGGAGGCATGTCTTGAGGGGGCCGAGAGAAGACCTGTCCTGAAGGGGCTGAGAAGTAGCCTGTCCTGAGGGGGCGGAGAGGAGGCCTGCATGGCTGAGGTGGTGTGCATGACAGAGAATGGTCTGGTTGCTTGCTTGCAGAGCTGAGAGGAGCTGCAAGCAAGCAGGAGCCTGCGCTGAAGAAAGGAGGATGTGCTCTCCACTTCCGGGGAGCCTTCCAGACTTTTCCCACATGCTTCCTGATCTGAGTTGTAGCCTGTTGATCCTGGTCCTATGTTGTACCCTGTTACTTCCTTAATAAACCACTTAACTATAAATGCGGTCTTGAGTTTCGTGTGGCAACTGCAATGAATTAAACTGATAAGTAAGGAGTGCCATCGGAGGGACGGCTGGTGTCAGAATTGGTAAAAAAAGGTTGGAGACTGGAGGTGTGCCTGACCTCCACCTCATAGGAATCAGCTTTGTGCTGATGGTGATTCTCATTATCCCCCATGAAGTTAGACAGGTTCTGATGCTACTACTACCATTTTACAATGTTAGAAGCTGTTTTGTAGTCTCAGCTAGCCACATAATCGTTTATCACTTTGAAGTATCTTGTTTATGTAGATGTACGTATAAATAAATATTAGCTGTCAAATTGGGACATAAGTACATGTTTTTGGCTACCTAACATTTTTTCCTATATAATATTTGCATAACATCTTTGAGTCAATAAAGACATGGATACCATTTTTGTTGACTGCGTAGCAGTCCATTGAGTAGGTATAGCTGTTTTATTTAAGAAATGCCCTGTGCCTAGACAGCAGATCTCTCCAGATCTTCCCTTGCAGATGGTGCTTGCAGCTGAATCTTTGTTTCTACCCTTAATTATTTCCATAAAATGTATTTCCAGAAGTTGAATTGCTGTTTCAAAAAAACCATGTCACTTTTTAAGGATTGACATGAATATTGCCAAGTTGCCCTTCAGAAAGCCTACTGATTTATCTTCCTCACTAGTGAGTCAGCTTTCATATTATTGATGTTTTTGACTTCTGCTTCCTTGATAGGAGAGAAATGTTATTTTGTTTTGAATTTCTTTAATTAGTAAGAGATTAAACATTTTTTATATTTTATTTTTATTATGTAAATTGCTTTATGTAGTTATGTTTCTTCTTACATAATATTAGACTGTTTTTCAACTGGGATATTTGCTTTTCATTCACTATCTTTGTGAGTTTCATGTTGGGAATCTCCTGATACCCCTTTTTCAGTCTTAAACATCTGAAGGATTATTCCTAAGCAGAGGCATTTTTCCATTACTTTTTCAGACACAGAAGTAGCCCACTTCTCATGCCTCAGTTTGAATCGGCTGGTGAGTTGGACGGTAGTTCTGCCTTACTAGCCGCATGTCATTCATCCTCTGCCCTCCCTCCGTCTAGACTGTGCAGAGGCTTCCTAAACCCTGGGAGCCGGAAATGGGCTCTGGGGTCTGTCCGCCTTTGCCTCTGCTCGGTGCTGACAGTTTCATTTACATGCCCAATTCCCCCACGGAGGTCTCGAGGTTGCAGCAGCACTTATCTCCCTCCTGGAGAGGTACCATGTGGTGAGAGCAGGTGACCTCACAAAGACACAGGCTGTAATCACAGCTGGCATTAAAACTAAGTTCTTGTGTTTGCCATTTTGGTCAAGTGCCCAGACAGGAGGGCCACTGGTCTCAGAGGCCCTCATGGAGCTGTGTATATATTTTTCCCTGTTAGAAGCTTCTGAAGGTCAGAAGTTAGCATAATCCGTGTTTTCCCCTGCTCCTCTTGGAATGTTGCTGAGATGCAGGCAGACATGCAGCAGTTCCCCAGGTGTCCTGAAGGTGGCACTGCAGGGTCACAGCTAAAGGTCAGACTACCTTTTACAGGGAAGATGAGACATGTCCATTTATGATAAACCCCAAGCCCTGGGAGAAAGAATGAATGAGGAAGAAGAAGACCATCAGCGCTGTCCTTGCACTGTTCATATGTGCTGTCTCTGCAGGATTCCTATCCCTGGAAAAGGCTGTCTTACAATTTTGTCACTCAACCTTTCTCAGGAAAGAATAGTTTTCAACTCTATTTGCTGATTTATAGGGAAGAGGAAGCATTTTTCTTGGTGGTAATAAGGGAAGCTATGTCATGTTCATTTTTATTTTATTAGAGAAGACTTCATGGGCAAAGGGAGGTGACCCTGGCTGGTCTCCCACACAGGCAGAGGTTGGGTAGCTTAAGGGGTGAAAATGAGCCTTTGGCTGGAGAGACTCCCCCCTCCACACCTGCCCAGGTGCCAAATCCCATACAGTAAGCCCACGCTGTTCATCAGCTTGCCAAGTGTGTTAATTACCTGTCTGTGCCATGCCAGGCACTGTGCTAGGTGCTGGGGACCCAGCCCTTGTCCTCATGGAGCTTGCTTTCTAGCAGGGGACATTGACCACAGCAAGTAAACAAATAAGCATAATCTTTTCAGAGGGTGGTCATAAGTGATGAGTAGCAAAGAAAACCAGCGCCGTGACTGGGAGTGGGCTCATGTGATTGAGCATTAGGCAGTGGGGGAAGGCCTCTCAGGAGGTGGTACTGGAGCCGAAATGAGCTTGAATGGTAAGGAGCCAGCTGTTTGCAAGGACAGAGGCTGCTGAGTTCCCTCATCAGACGGGGCAGAGTGGGCACCTGAAGGGAGGGACATAGGTGAGATGGAGCATTGGGAGGAGGGAAGGACTAAGGGTGGGACACTCTTCCTGGGATGCTACTTTGCAGAGACCTGCCGTGGGAGGTTCTGGACAGTAGTACATCAAGTGGCCCCAAAGAGGACCCACAACCAACTGTCCCACTCACAGCCTTGGCTGGAGAGACTCCCCCTCCACACTAGCCCTGAGGAATGCCTTGCATCAGTTCTTGTGGGTAGTTCTTGGATACCAGGGGGTAGGTCTTTCTCACAGCCCATCCTTCACTGTAGCTTCCCAAACTCTGACTCTCCAGGTATTTCACCCTCCTTTCTCACCACACATGCCCTGCAACTTATCTCTGGAAACTTGGCATGATGCCAAGAAGTGATGTGAAGGCTTAGGAAGAAAAGGCAAGTCCAGGAGTGCATGCGTACAGGAAAAGGGTGCAGGTCTATGTTTTAGTTTTTTCTGGTTTCTCATTCTGATCTTTAAAATAATTCATAATTAGAGGAGGGGCAAGATGGCAGTGTAAACAGTCACTCCCCTGTGTCCCCCTACAATGAAGCCAGTAAACAACAAATAAAAATTAGCACAGACAGAGACTTCAGAGCTCTGGATAGCAGTTGAAGGGTTAGAGAACCAAGGTGAGTCCCAAATCTGGAGAGGGCTAGCACAGGGATGGAAGAAAGTTGAGATTTTCTGTTGCCAGCACTCTACCTGCCAGCTCAACTCACTGCAGCCATTTTGGGACGTGGACAGGCAACACCTCTGAACAAAGAACCCAGGATGAAACCCACACTGAGGACACAGACTGGCTCAGAGATGCTAGGAGAACAGCCTTGGAAAGGTTTGACAAAAGGGGTGGAGACAGTGGCATATCAGCACAACGTGGATTTGAAATTTGGGAATGTAAGGAAAGTGAAGTCCAATTAAAGTGGTGCAGATTGGCTTTGGAATTCATAAGCAGGGAGCAAGGAAGCCCTAATGTGCACCTGGGGAGAGGTGCAGGGAAGATGAAACACTGTGGGTGAGTGCTGTTGAGTCTTGCTGAGACCAGAGGTGGGAGGGCACTAGAACCTGGCTCCACAGAAGAGCCATGGGACTCATCCATCAGTCAGGATGAGAAAAGTACATCAAATAAGCAACCAGTGGGAACCGACTGGCT